CTTGAAAGTAACGCAATAGTTACTTTCGAAAGTAACGCAATAGTTACTTTCGAAAGTAACGCAATAGTTACTTTCGAAAGTAACGCAATAGTTACTTTTATAATTTGTAACTGAGTAACTAATTTAGTTACTTTTTGGAAGAAGTAACTAGTAACTGTAACTAATTACTTTTTAAAAATAACTTGTCCAACACTGATTATTATTTATGTCAACACAACTCATCAAATTAAAAGGTTAATCTAAATCATTAAATTAAGTTTTATCTTGCAACCGTGTATTTATTCAAGTGTTGACAACAGGTCCACTGATTTTACTTTTTATTTCTTATTTAACTCAAAAATGTGTTGAAACTGATTACATAAAAAAATTTAAGTAAAAGTAACTCAATATTGTAAATCTAAAAAAAGATCAAGTTTTTTTTTTCATTTTAAGTAATACTGACTTTTTGTAACTTTTATTTGTACTGTGAAAATAAAATACATAGTAAAAAGTACTTAATCAGATGTGTTTCTGTAACTTACAAAACTAAGTTAGTGTCACTTAAACTGACTCATAAAAGCTGTTTAATCAATAATCTTTTTAACAAAACTGAGTTTGTGTTACTTAAAATGTTCGATGTTAGTGAGTTGCATGAAACTGAAGCGAAGCACGAATATTCGTCAGTTCCAGAAGTTACATGAAAAACAAATTTTCCCAGTATAAGTGTAAGAATGTAATGTGTAAGTATAAGTGAACAGCCTGTGACAGTATCAGTATTTCATCTAAATATGATGAGCCATATGCCAGAGCACCAAATCAGTGCATAGACTTTCTTTGTTTACGTACTCTAATCCCTTTATTGCTGCAATATTGTGTCAGTCACAGAGGAGTTTTCTGCCGGTATAAGCATTTTATTGCTTTCAGTCAACCCGTTTCCTCTAATGTGTTGTTCTGTAAACACAAAACCAGAGTCTGTATGTTGGGAAATGACAACCCTCCTGCTGTATAGAGATGGTGTAACCTGCACTCCCACATTTAGTGTACAAACCGACTTGTATATACAGGCTGCAAGCGACCAGAAGAATCAACGTGATTGGATTGGAAAACTAATCAGCAGAAACACAGGAATAAACCATTAATTGCAGCCTGTATATACAAGCTCCGGTTTGGTACACTAGAATGGTGGGGGAGTGCAGGTTCACACCCACTCGTATGTACAGCAGGGAGGGTGTCTTTCGCCAACATACAGACTCTGGTTTTGTGTTT